CTAATGGGATGGTCGAACACGCAGTATAAAACCAGTGGTCGCCTTGGGAATAGTTCTGATCTCTCACGTATTGTTGGGAAAGAGTTGCACATTGTGGATGGTACCATTGAGATGCTGGAGCCCGAACGGTAGTTTCTGCATCAACATGCGGTTGCACTGCTGGAAACGATTGAGCCACTGCGTTTGACAGTCTCATGTTCCATAACCCTAAGCGGCTATCTCCTTCGAAAACGATTGAAGGAAAAACATCGTGTTTCGGAACCGTCAAATCGTTTCTCCTCGCCCATGGATCACAGCGCATGAGAAAAAAAGCACGAACCCGGTGAAGGAACAAGGTAATTCACAAATCAAATGTAGCTAGTTAGTTGAGTAGTCAACTCCATTTGGCTCATATCTAGCCTGACTTTACAGATTGCCAAAAGAACACAAGCCGCAGGTTCTCTTGAGCCCTGTTATTGACGTGTGTACTTCTGCCTTCCACTCTGCAGCGAAAGGGATTGTGATATTGTCAGCGCTTTATTCATGCCTTAAAGTACTGCATTGTACTGTATTGGTAGATAATTTGAGAACATATTGGAAAATGATGCTGGCATTCAAGGTCCAGACACTTTCCAAATTTTTTCGTTGCTAGAAACTGTCAAGATCATTTAGGATTACAAAGTAGAAAATCATATAGATATTGGCATCCATGTGTTGATATTGCAATGGTTGGTCATACGATACCATTTCTACAGGCAGTTCTTGGCTGAAGGGCGTAATTCATTGACAAATAGACGGATTGCACACAAGACCGCTGATTGCTAATATTTTCCTTACGGAACTTAAATGCGTCCCCGAACCATTATCATATCAGGTGGTTCCTAATGTAGGTATATTGATGATAGCTTCATAATTTGTACTCCAAACATACTGTTTGGAAAGATTTGCACACTTTGGACGATACCATAGGAAACAGTGTGAGCAGGTTGAGCCAGATCAGAAAAATCGATTACAATCTTCCGACCCACATTTACCCTTCGTCTGGAGACCTTTTGGATTCATATCTACTTGCTTTCTGCTACTCAATGCAATGTCACTACATTACACAGTGTGTTAGTCGATGTAATGTGCTTTTGTGACTTCGGTCCGTTGCGCACCGCAGTCGGACGAGGGATATAGTTAAAAAGGTCGCATTAGACCAGGCTAGCGGACGATGTGACTGCGCCGGTCGGTGTGTTGGGCAAAGCCGGCACACTGGCTGACTGGGCCACAAGCAGTGACGATCAGTTCCAACTGAATGTTGAGCGAACAGCAACGTAGTAAGAAAGCGCGGTAGCTGCAGAAAGTGGTAGTAGGGGAGAACGATTTTTAGCCGACTTGATCGCCTCAAGGAAGACCTTTCGAACAAGTCTAAAAAATGCACAAGGTGTTTGAAACTGGAGTATTACAGTGTTGAGTTTCAGCAACAAAGTCCGTCACAAACACAGATGTGAATCAGAGGTTGAAAAGTAAGAATCATTCAGAAGATAAGCATACGCCTTGTAGTGCCAATAAATCCTAGTCGAGTGAATGTAAGCGCAATGGTGTGCAACCCATTGCTAAGGAATAGTTCACAAGCAGGCAAAAGCACCGATTCGGATCGAACGTACGCTGGAGTTAGAGGGATTAGTTGGAGAAAATCGTACCATTTAGTACCAATATTAGGGTCCCGAACTACAGACAATTTGTTACGGAGGTAATTTCCATCTCCTTAGACGGGCTTTAACGGCGCTCCGGTTATCGGACAATCAATGACTTCTATTCGTTTTGCGAGATATATACAAAAATGAAGTTAATACTTGTTATATGATCAGGTTATCATTGAAATAGTACTGGTATGAATTCCATGTGTTTTCAAGGATGTCACTGAAGTCCTTTCAAGGGAAGCACGGGAACTAGTGTACAATACGTTTATGCATGCACTTGTGATTCATTATTAAGTGCTTTGACAAGCACGGAAACACACGAGCTATTATTATTCTCTACATCCCTCTGGAGAACTATGATGCTTACAGCAATCAGCAAAGACATAAGGTGCAAATGAAACGTTCGCATGAAAAGTGTCTCGCAGTTGGATTTCAGTTGACCCATGCTGCTTCAGGACATGAGCAACCTGGGGATTCGCACTTTACGGTAGCTAATATCTTTATGCGGCACACGGGTATCTCTTTAGTCATATGATATCATTTCCGCTTGATCACAATGATGAATGATGTGAATGAAGTACATTACCTGTTTGCAGTTGGTCACTCAGACACGGATACAGATCGATACTGGCCCTTCTCGACTTCTATCGTTCATCGTAAATCGTGCGAGTAGCACAGGCGAACCTGGTGTCTGGTTGTAGAAGTGGTGAGTAGACAAGAGGGGTGAACCGGCGTGGTCAACTACCGGGACAATTCGATGATTTCATCGAAACATCCACACACCGGATCGACTGGTGTGTTTTTGTAAGAACCACAGCAATTCATCAACATGCTTGGATTGAAACGAGGACAAAGCACACACATCAATCTAAAGTCAGCTGCAAAATCGGATGATATGTTCTGTTCGTTTCACATGTGTAGTCCATAAGTGTACCAAGTAAATGTTAGCGCCCCCCATCTGTTTTAGATACACTCGTTCGTTCCATCGATCAAACAAACACTGATTGCATACAACAGGGTAGGATACTTGCTGCGGTGGGGTAATAGCAGTAGGGCACGAAAAGTGTAACGGAGGATCGTTCAGACAGGGAAAATATTGCATTGGCGGTTAGTGAACTGTGTCATTTTGTATGCAGTACCTTCTGAGAAACTTGCTAGTCACACGGATATTTACTTGAATTTGTTACACGAAATTAATGGGATCAGTATTGGCGCCACGAAACTGCGGTACTTGAACCACCAAAACTATCGTAACAACCGACTCTTTGTGTAACCTGATCTACCAAGGGACAATGTAACGATCAGACTGCTAACAACGTTGTATGCGACCTGTAGATTACAGACGAGTGGATGTTGTCTGCGAAGACAGAACCGAATATGGAAAGATCATTCACCCATCTCAGTCTGTTTCCCATGTTACACTTTGTTCGCTATCTTACCACAGTGCGTGTGTGCACCATGTCTGAAGCTAATAATGACGGTATTCGTGTATCCGATCAGTACGTATGTTGATGTGTGTCGAATGGAAATCGATTAACCATTATGGAGGCGCTTGCGTCGAGTGAATGCCACGAAGCTGGATCTAATGCGGGATGCGAAGGTACCCCAGCTGGTGAGAGAAAGAAATGATAGCAGACTGATCGAAAATTCATCCCATTCGACCGGCACAAAGAATGCGGTATGTATGCAACGTGAAAATCGAAAAACAACAGTTGCAGTATGAAATGAATGAAGCGACCAGATTATGAATTTCACATTTAGTTGACGCTGGTTGCCTCTAGATTTTCAGTATGTAACGCCCAGAGATCAAGAAGAATACGCAGCGAACGTGGAGCTATACCAAAAAGTAGCTAACGCGCAATCATATTGAGGAGATCAAACTGAGCTCTGGAGTACTGACCGCGTCACATAATTTCAATAGGGACTTCGGTTTATTCCAGATAGACCTCGGTCATTCCGATCCCTTGGGCCGTATCCGAAGTGGAAGGTTTCAATGTTGCTCGATCCTAGCCTTGCACTCCACGGCCGACAGGTTCGTCCATGTTTGCATTATTCTAGCAGAGATAGTCAGAGCTTGGAGTAGTACTCGCGACGCAATGACTGACAGCTGACCGCATGATCAAAGTTGTATGAGCTTTATTCAGAGCAAAGCGTGCCCTCGATTGAGATTATATACCGCAGTGACAATAAAAGATTAACACTCCAAAAACTAGTGCTGAATTTCTCCGAATAGGCCCAATACCAAGTAGCACTTGCCAGACAGTCTTTGTTCAATATATCAAACAAAATACACACAACTCGTGCTAGAGTTGAACTTTTCAAGCTACTCACTCGCCCCATCCTCGAATACTGCAGCATAATATACGGCAATATGAGAAAGAGTGACCGAACTGCTGTAGAGCACCTGCAGAGGTCATTTACTAAACACCTGATTAGTAAAAACGGTGCTATGAGTTATCGAGAGCGTTGCGATGAATTTCCTCTCGAACCACTTTGGATTCAACGATTGAAGCACAACTTGTTGCTGCTTTCCAAATGTTACACAGAAAACCTATTCCAACCGGCATACACTCAATTTACAACATCGCTCAACTCGAGCGCTTCGCAACAAAGATTTTACACTTAATATGCCGAAGGTTAGAACGAACGTCCGTTCTAATTTCTTCCTGGTCCGATATAGCTATCTACGGAATAAATTACCAATAACACTCAGGACATGTGACAATGTGGCAACATTTAGAGGCAGGCTCGCCAATTACCTTGATCTAACTACCCTAAGCTCTATATTCACATGGGAAAAATCCCTCGATGAGCTATTCCAAGATGGGTCCAGAAACCTATAAACACCAATGTTTTCATAACTAGGCTTTGTCCCCAACCAGCCGCCAGAATGTTAATACACAAAACGCATATCCCAATACTCCACCTATGCATGTCAACCATGTAAGAGCATGGATTCTGCTGTACAAATAGATCTGTGCCGCTATAGACACAGCTTCTCTCATCAAGAGAAATATACGTATTATTATTATTATTATTATTATTATTATTATTATTATCTGCTGTGCCAAGTATGCCACTTGAGTTGTCATAGTCCTGCGACCACCGCATCAGCCGTCAAGCGTTATGCGCCGGGTTCCTCTCACAGCTCCGCCTATCTCCACATGAAAAGTGCAAATAATTGAAATCTCGGTTGTGGGGCACAGTATACGGATTCAGTAATTTCCGAACTAGCCAGCACACAACACACAACACACTGCACACCAGCGTACTGCATCTCACGGTGAAGGAACACGCAACCCATTCCAGTCACATCACATGTTCCCGATGGCTTACGTGGATTCGTCTGTCCCGAGCGCTTTCTCTCCGGCGTTGTACAGCTCTTCCGCGTCATGCTCCACTGCGCTGTGGTCAACGTGATGACTCTCGTCACGACCACCTTGTACCATACTGACTAGAACACGCTTGAAGTATCCGTGGGTCTCACTAGTCAAATCTTTCTCCAGATCACGTCCGCCGAAAACTGGGGTCAAAAACGGGAAAGGTTAAACAGGTAAGGCGTGTACAGATAGTAAGCACAACTCAAGTCAAGTTAAAAACAGGTATTTACAATTTTGGAAAACTCAAATAGCCACGTCCAAACCCGTTCAACCATCATCGCCGTTACAATAACTTATGACATCTTAAAATATGCCGTTGTGTCACTGAACCGCTTCCTGAAAATCCTACCAGTTTAGCAACGCAGAGTACAAAGAAATTGGCATAACAGGGGTGAAAGCCCGGTGCATGTCCCGTAATCACCATGCAATCATTTCCCTTGTTTGCGTTGGTTTGCTTTTTGCGCATAGAGCAATCCCAGTGGGATTACATAGACTGTGCATTCATCGTGCAACCGTAAAATAGGTTTTCTTACTATTCCTTCTAGTTCCGTGATTTTGGTTTTTATATTGCACTCTTCTTTCGAGAATTGTGATAACCTTTGTTTTATTTAACCATACAGTTGGTGGATTTGCGGTGTAGAGTTGAATTTCACTACCCGCCATCTCAGGTCAAACGCCAGCTGAATGTGCACGCAAAAGCGTCAAGAACGATGTGTTCCAACAATGAACTGACTCCCAAAGATTCACCAGGCCAACTGAACTAATGAACAAATCATTAGTTTAGCCAGATTCGCAGTTCTCCGTGCTAATCATATTGCAAGTCACTCAAAGGGGAGCTGCGTCTGCTAAAATCCAAAATCAAAGTTGGTGGTGATACTCATACAAATCTAGACAAGCTAACAAACAACCTTAATGTGTCCGTCGAGCGTACAGCACCAATCAAGTGGTGGCAGAAGCTTCCACAGGATTACACTGCTAAAGGAATGCAGTCGTTTTTAACATTTCCGACAATATCTAAACTGCATACTTACGAAGCATTTCGTTCGAGACAGACAATATGGATTGCGCACAGTGCAGTTCTACACGATTTAGAAAGAAGGTTCAACGCCAAGCTCATGCATGCTATTTTGTGTACTGGAGTGCGAAGTACAGATGAATTTACTGGTAAATGCGATCAAACAGCTAGTAGTTCACTTTTTAAGATTCTGCGTATCGCATCTGATAAGATTCCTTTGCATCAAGAAATTTGAGTGAAACTGGCAACCCTTCATGTTCACCGCGAGACACAGTGCTCCATTAGTTGGGTTAGCCTTGTAACTGCAGCCATAGCGGCAGCAGCAGAATCCAGTATCACACTGAAATCCTAGTGTCTAAACATGATTGATACTGTCTTAGATCCGTTACAGACGAAAACACTTCAATGCACTCAGCTACTGCACTGAATCTACCCGATGTTCCGCTAGCACTGACGGGTGCGTCAATCAAGGTGAAACACCTTCTTGGGGAATCAGAACACAGCTGGAAATACAGACCTGCTAAATCATCGACTGAGGGGCCGAAGGAAAAACTTGCCCAGTATCGACATCCGCAATGTCTATTTAACCCATTCCATCAGCTTGCGTGGAAACTAGGCTATGGTTCAAATAACCTGTCAGCGCACAAATGGCAACTCGACCTTTGGTTGAGTGCCACCAATAAACACACATTACCGCTGCCTGTCCGAGTGGTCTGCAGCTGGCACATAATATTCCTAAGCTCAATAGCGAAGTCTGCTCCTGTGTTTTACACTTTACAAATCAAGCACTATGCCAAGGTCGCCGAACGCACTTGTCCATGCCTGACACAGGGAACATGGCCCAGCCAAGTTAATATTGACCCCACTTTGAGTAGTTAACAGTTTATTGTCCACAGCATTCTTGCCTCTCATATCCCGGGAACGGCTGGTCTGAGCAACACAATAAGTGTTATGTGCACTGGTGCCGGTATCCACTCCCACACATTGTTAGTGTTAAACGTGTCAAAATGGGTTCAATCCAGTCCATTACCAACCAGACTGTTGTTCATATCGATATTCCTTACTGGAGCTAGTGAGTATGTACGATTTCTTTCACATGCCCTGCTTTAAAGGTTAATCCTTAGGTAGACAATCATCTCAGTCCCTAAAATAAACCTATATGAATGGGTTGATAGACAATAGGACCATTGAGTAACCTCAACTACGTCCAAGTACCAACGCTGAATCAATTGCTTCCTCGATTCCAGGTGCATCGGCATAACTACAGCTTCCGCTCAGATCCTGTCCCTCTTCCTACCAATTAAGGTTTGAAGGAATACTTTTTAGGTTACCTGGTAGAGTGATTGAATTTCCTCTTTTCCCAACAGACACTGTCCTTTCATAGAATTTCTATAAATACTTACGATATAGACAGTGTTTAGGGATTATTTTCTTCTGGTCTGCACCTTTTACTCCGACCAGCCAATGTTAACTTCGCAGCTGACCATTTGCGAATCAGCAAACCACATACTAAATCGGGCTCCAAACATAGGCATCCACTGCAACCTTCCCCGATTTCGTCATAACCTACCCGCTATTCCAAATCTACATTATTGGTGGTTTTGTGCGTAGTGTAATTTTTGTAGAAAGCAGAAGCCACGATTAAACTTTGAACAATAATCTGCCTCAAAATCTATCCGTAACATGCGAGTTGCTTCCAACTACTTTCTGTCGTTCTTCATCTGGTTGTGCATACTCCCATATGCAGCTCACCAACGGCGGCGGATGCAGTACCTCGCTCACCATTAAAAACTACCTCTAGCGGCGGCTTAAATTACTCTTATTTCTTCCGACAACATATATATCACCTCTTCTCTCACACGAGATCCCAGCTCATTCACACGGCTAAGAACTCGACAAAAGCATTCTCCCAGAGTGCTCCAATACTGCGTGGGTGCACACGCACGTTTGCTTACAAATCAGATCCTAAAGTTTATCCTTTGGTCTATTATCTTTTGACTTAGAGTATGTCTCATAAACTGAAGCCATAACGATAACAATGCAGACCAAACCCATGATATGCTTGTGTACAAAATCAGTAAATAAAATATGCTGAATCCCACGGATGTCTTACTCAAGTGTGGAGTATGATACTTGATTTCTACAGTCCGTTAATGACTTACCTATGAACTTCCATGATACCCACTTTACAAGCTTGGCTTTGCTCGTGACATTAGTTGGCTTGTTGTATACAGTATTCGAATTTTCCAATCCTTTTTGAGAACACGCCGTCACAACGAAAATACAATGTTATCTGGTCATTCCGGTCTTTTTAGTCCCTGCCCATGCTGTAGATTACACACAAGTAAAAAGTTGGTTTAAATCAAGTAGGAGTACTGTTCGGTTCGGTGGTCAAATGCTTCGTCATCTTCGCGATTGGATCCCTGATCTGTTTTGAAGCATGCTGCTGTGAACTATTAAGACTCTTGCAGTTGCGTGTATTCTAACAATTATGATCTTAATCAAACATCACACCCGCATAAACGAAGCACAATGACGACAGTCCATCAAAGGAGCTGCTCTTAGCCTACACAGCAAAGTACCAACTATATCCGAATACGATAGTTCAAAAACTAGCGGCAGATTGGGGATAATGTCGGTGACAACCGTATAATGTTTGGAAGCAATCATAATTGTGCATGTTAGAATCATCAGTTGTTAGATTTAGCCTATCTGAATGAAACTATGTAGTTAATGCAGAAGTTGACTAACTTATAGAGTTGCCAAGGGAATAGCCATTTATAGCTCCCTAAAGTGAGCTAGACAGTGGTACCCAGTGTAGCCCTTTGACACAGAAGGTATGGCTGCATAGTGCATGTGCGATGCCACTAGTTGGCTGCTCCACGTGACAGGAAAAATCATCCCAATCTCATCGGAGAAGCTGTATCTCAGCTATTGCATTCACTTGCGATCAATACTGTTTCGTACTTTCTGCTAGCAGCATTCGCAATCAATACGAAACTGTGTAACTGTGTGGTTGATCAGGAGGAAGCACTACTGTGCCAGGATCGACTAGTAAAGTAGCAACGCACAACTCGAACGGGAACGTGGGAACTACGGACCTACGGTCTAACAGAAGACAAACCCACAATGGCCACAAATAGAGGGTCACAGGAAGAATAGAGGGGGAAGCTAGTGAGGTAGGCTACAATATGCACCCAGTAGAAAAATGTTTGCCACCCACTCATTCATTTCCCTATCTACTATCCTTAATCAGGTTGTTTAAAATGTTTCGAAAGACTGGTAGCTAGGGTTGATGAATCAATTGTTCATTTGTTCTCCGAGCTTGGCGGTTTTGTCGCAAACGTTTCACCACCATGCGAGGTGGCATCCTCAGTGCAGTGATATGTAGCGTGCAAGCTTACTAAACGAATCCTCCATCCATGATCGACCTGCAGGTGACTTTGAACGTGGCAGTGTCGATTTTAGGTCCCGTGACCTCTACCCACTTTCCCCAAGGCTACATATCACTGCACTGAGGATGCCACCTCGCATGGTGGTGAAACGTTTGCGACAAAACCGCCAAGCCCGGAGAACAAATGAACAATTGATCCTTACTCAGGCTCTGAACCAACCACCTATCTGAGCTCTTGCAATTCTTCAATGTTCTACTTCGTCTCTTATTTTCCGGTTGAATCCGCAATCCTATGTGATGTACCGACAAATGTAGCTAACTTTCCTTCAAGTTCTATTGCTCATACAGCATCGTTCCATTTCTACTGCTATGTCTCACTCTTGTGATACTTCTCTACGTCTATCGGTTTGACTGTTCGTTTGCCGGTTCCCAATGCATCCTAGTACTTTGGTAGTATATTGCCATTAAACCTTTATGCAGCATATCACCTTCAAGTCAAGTCAAACTAAGCTTTACCCACCCGTATGGGTACATTTTCAGCATTTTCACATCAGCACTACGGGTTAGTATACAACAAAGCATCACTGAGAAATACCAATTAATAGTGGTAAAAGAAATTCTGCATCGTAAATCAAGCATAAGTTCACGAAAGCAGCGGTTCACTCCAGTTGGGTCAATTAGTAAGCGTGATAGAAAAGGCAGGATAGAGTATCGATACGATGAGGTATGAGAAT